TACGGAAGGAGACGGAGGAGAATTACATGAGGGAAATGGAAAAAAAAGGTGGTGAATGTATATATATATATATGTGTGTGTGTGTGTATCTATGAGAAAGAAAGAGAAAATGAATTAGAGAGAGAGAGAGAGAGAGAGAGAGAGAAGATAGAGGGAGATGTAATTCATTGATATAATCATCCATCTATCATACATTGTTCACAGCCATACTCACACCTCGCACTCACACACAAGAGCCGGAGACGCTCCAGTGTCCTTGTTTATAGCTCCCGCATCGCATTCCCGAAAGGAGCTTTTCCAGACCCAACTTTCGCCTGGCATTCTCGAGGCTAGGCGAATACATCACATTACTGTTGCGTTTTTGTAGGATGGTTTGCATCGTCCTCCTTCCTCGGGTGAATGTCTTGGTTTTTTGTCTTGAGGGAGAGAGGAGGGAGGGAAGGAGGGAGAGAGAGAGAGAGAGAGAGAGAGAGAGAGAGATTGAGAGAGAGAGAGAGAGAGAGAGAGAGAGAGAGAGAGAGAGAGAGAGAGAGAGAGAGAGAGAGAGAGAGATTGAGAGATTGAGAGATTGAGAGAGAGATTGAGAGAGAGAGAGAGAGAGAGAGAGAGAGAGAGAGAGAGAGAGAGAGAGAGAGAGAGAGGGAGGGAGGGAGGGAGGGGGGGAGGGAGGTAGAGAGTGAGAGAGAGAGAGAGGGGGGAGAGAAAGAGAGAAAGAGAGAGAGAGAGAGAGAGAGAGAGAGAGAGAGAGAGAGAGAGAGAGAGAGAGAGAGAGAGAGAGAGAGAGAGAGAGAGAGAGAGTGGAAGAGAGAAAGAGAGAGAGTGGGAGAGAAAGAGAGAGAGTGGGAGAGAAAGAGAGAGAGAGAGAGATAGAGAGAAAGAGAGAGAGTGGGAGAGAGAGAGAGAAAGAGAGAGAGAGAGAGAGAGAGAGAGAGAGAGAGAGAGAGAAAGAGAGAGAGATTAATGTGAGATTCGATCTCGGTGCGATGATATCCTTCCTAATGCCAGAACCGTGGGCAGGATTCGATCTCCATCGCTTAAAGTCTTTTTTAGTCCCTTTCCGCAGATGTTAACTTAATAGCACGGTGGCACCAGAACATATCAGTATATGATACAGATTATTCTACATATCCGCCATTCAAAGCAAAATTAACTTTATTTCATAGTGACATAAGCCTCAAACAGTAAATATCTTTTAAAGAGAGTATAAAGAGGAAAAAGAGTTTGGTTATTTATATTCCTCTTTCACCCCATCCCTTCCACCTCAGTAAACACACATACTTTCTTAATTAGATACTGTATAGTGTATTTTATATAGTGTCTGTGAAAGAGATTTAAAAGAGGTTGACATAAAGAGGGAAGGGGGGAGGGGTTGGCACGCTCTACCCCAATCCCCCCCCCCCTACCACAACTTCAACACATATACCTACCTAATCATTTATTGTACATTCAAACATATGCGTTACAACCACATTCGTTTCAGAGGATTAACTTTGCGCATATTGTATATATCAGTATCGGATTTGCTGTTTGCTGTCAAATTTTCTCATCAAAAAAAGGCTTTCAGGGTTTAGAATGATGCATCGTGTCATCCTACGGGAGGCAATGGATGCAGGGTATAAATTTCTCTCTCTCTCTCTCTCTCTCTCTCTCTCTCTCTCTCTCTCTCTCTCTCTCTCTCTCTCTCTCTCTCTCTCTCTCTCTCTCTCTCTCTCTCCTTTTCTCTCTCTCTCTCTGTCTCTCTTTCTTTCTCTCTCTTTCTTTCTTTCTCTCTCCTTCTCTCTCTCTCTCTCTCTCTCTCTCTCTCTCTCTCTCTCTCTCTCTCTCTCTCTCTCTCTCTCTCTCTCTCTCTCTCTCTCTCTCTCTCTCTCTCTCTCTCTCTCTCTCTCTCTCTCTTTCCATCTATCTCTATCTATCTATTTATCTAACGACCTATCTATACATTTCTCTATCTGTCTATTCGTACATCGATCTATCCCATTTCCCTCTTTCCCATCTCCTTTTAAAACAAACATACACCTGAAACCACCTAAAACATAAATAAATAAAGGTAATAACCCCCCCCCCCCGTACAAGCGACTCATTCTCCCTTCTCTCCTTTCTCTCCCTTCTCCCTTTAAGAGAAACATGACTCTGAAAAGAAGAAGAAGAAAAATAAGAAATAAAAATATGATAATAACAATAAAGATAATAAGAAGAAGGCGAATAAAATAGAATAAATATATAAACATATAAACATCCCCCTTCTCCCATAGAAACGACTCATTCTCCCTTCTCTCACTCCCTTCTCCCCCTCCCCCCCCTTTCTTCACAGGCGGGCGAGTGGCACTACCGAGTGGAGAACAGAGCCGACAGCCACCAGAGCCTCTTCACCCGCGTCCTAGCCACACCTCGCGCCCCTAACTCCACTTCTAGCTCCTCGATGGGACACAGTGACAGGAACACCCACGCGATCACACTCACGGCGTGGACCTCCAGCTCTGCCACGGTCGTCAACATTTCG